GGGACACTCCTACAAGAGCGCCACTATAGCTGACGGTGATTCCATGCCGGATAAGCTATAAAAGCCCCTCAACACAGCCGACGGCGATGCTGGTATCCAAAGACTTGTCCATGGGATCTTGAACGCGGCCTCCGTGTCGCACCTCATCCCCCCTCGGGATCAACCGAGTGGCTCATAATCTCAGGCTTCCTCTCGATATGGAGAACAGATGTTCACAATCACCTCGCAAAGTCATGCAATGCAAATGCCTCCATCAGAAATAGCCCCCAGTAGGTTCAAGTGGGCGATTTTCCCTAATGTACACTCTATCCGCATCTTCGTATTGGTATCTTACACCTCGCATCCGCCCACAAATTGATTCACAACACTGAAGAGTGCCTCATCACCTCTCCTCCCCCTTCACCAAAACATCCCCAAGCACACGATACTTCCGATCCGCGTAAACAAGCCCAAACCCCTCCCCATCCCCCTTCCTCACCCCTTCCACCTCCCCAACGACAACAACATGATCCCTCACCCTCACCACCCCCTCCCCGAGCACCCGACACTTCAACACAAACAGCACCCCCCTTCCCCCAAGCACCGGCGCCTCCCCATCCTCCTCCTCAACCTCCACGCCCACAGGCAACTCCTTGAACACCTCACCGCCCGAATTCCCCCTCGTGAACCACTCCGCGACCCGCGCCCCAGCCTCCCCCTCCGCCAGCACATGCACATTAAACCGGCCGCCCAAATCCTCAATCGCCGCCAGCGTCCGGCTCGGCGTCCGCACGTTAAAGCTCACAAGCGGCACGGGGTCCATGCTCAGGCTCACGAAGCTCGACATCGTCATCCCCCGCGGCCGCCCGTCCCGGTCCGTCGACGTGCACACCACCACCGAGTGCGCCAGCCGGCGCATCACGCCGCGCAGCTGGTCCGGCAGCTCCTCCTTCATATCAACCTTGTTCGTTGGCGGTGTCGGCGGCTCAGTGCGCCATGTAGACGACGCCCGCCGTGGTGATGTGTGTATCGCTCGGAGGAGGTCGGAGGACGGTGTGGTTGTTCGGCCGAGGGGGCATTGCGGTCTCGTCGGGACACGGATCTGGGCTGCAAGACGTCAATTACACACTAAACATCAAGAAGAAGCAATATCAAGCTTACACGCTCCGAAAAGAGCCCTCCGCGACGTCTCCCCGCAGACATTCGCCCGGGCCGTCCGGCGCAGCGCATTCCCCAGCACACTCATTGCGCGCCAGGTACCATGCCTCTGTAAAATTTCTGCCAAATTCTGCTTTCGCTGAAGCTTTCAGTCCTTTTTGAGTCGCGAAGCCTCAATTGCCGCTGATTTCGTCAAAAATTCCGTTCGTTGGTGTAATTGTATTGTCCTCTGGGCCCTTGCAGCAGCTCCCAGAAGCTGTGATGTAAAGGGTCCCTCACCCCCGAGAGCCCAGAAAAAATCCTTATCGATAAGTACATCCCTCCCCCGGTGCGCCATCCATCCAAACCCACCCACTTTACCGTGCACGGAACCTCCCGGCCCCGAACCGAAATTTTGGCAGCACCCTCACCACCGCATCGCAGCATCACGAAAGCTTCAGATTCCCAACCCACCACAGGTCAATCGCGCCCGCCCGCCGCGCACCACCTCCGCCCAAAATGTCAAAACTCCCCTCCCACCTGCCGAGGCCAACAAGCCTCCTCGCCCTCCGCCCGACCCTCACATCATCCTCCCGCACCTCGCCAGCGCCATACAACTCCACAACGCCCACTCCCACCCTCACGACAACGCAAACCCGCGCAGCAACCTTTGTCCCCCGCGTCCGCCGCCCCTACACCTTCACCCAGCTCATCCAGCTCTCCGACGGCTCGACCTACACCCTGCGCTCCACCTCGCCCACCCCGCTCGTCCGCTCCGCAAAGGACTCCCGCAACCACGCCCTGTGGCAGCCCACCGACAAGTCCCTCCAGAACGTCGAGGTCGACGAGGCCGGAAAGCTCGCCGCCTTCCGTCAGCGTTTCGGCCGCGCCTTCGATCTCGCCGAGGGCCCCAAGGACGCCGAGGGCGGTGACGCCGCAAAGGCCGGCAGCGGAAAGGATGCTGCTGCTGCAAAGGACAAGGACGCCGCCGCCGCCGCCGCTGAGGACGACGCCTACGACCTGGGTGATTTGATCGGCGACTATGGCGCTTCCATTGACCAGAACAAATTGAAGTCAGCCAAGACCTTTGGAAAGGTCAAGGGTGCATCATAGACGTGGCGATGATGGATGAATGGACTTGTACGATGGACGATGGATGGAATGGTAAAACGGTTGGAGGAGATTCAGAGCGCCCAGGGTGCCCGGGTCTGCAGCGAGTCGGGGATTACGGAGAGCCCTGAGCCTATACCACTGGGGTCTCTACTGTCATATATGTACAACAACAATAAACAACCAAAGAAAGGCTCGACACATGCGCTTGGTTCCAAACTCATCCGGCCCCCCACGCCATCTCATGCCTCATAAGAAGAAAAAACTGCTGCTTTGCGTTGGAAGGATGGTGTAAGCTAGCTTTTTGCGCCGTAACTCTGCGCCGGCCCTCTAGTCGGAGTCGTCGTTGATAGTCGCACGAGCCCTGTCAATAGCCGTGTTGCCGGGCGGCTTGCCCGAGGACTGGATGACCGGCGGCCGGTAAAAGACCGTCTCGTCGTCCTCGGCGTCCAGCTGCATCAGGAACGTCTCCCACTTTTCAATCAACTGCGCCTGTTAGCATGTGTGTCTGTGATATATGGATGTGTGACGTACCTCTTTTTGTGCCTCGACCGCGCTCTCCAAGAACGTCTCAACTCCACTCTTGAAGTCCTCCACCTTCTCCCTCTCGAAGCGGTCCAACTCCGCCCTCATCAGACGGCCCATATCCTCAAACAGGAGCCTAGCCTGGTGGACCTTCCTCTCCGCGTCAGCGACCTCAGCGCTGACCTGATTCAGCCTGTCCTGCTGGCTCTTGCCCTGCCGCAGCAGCTTGTCCTGGGTGTTCTTCTTCTTCTGCATCTCAGACTCGGCCGAGTGCCACGCGTAGAACGCCTTTTGTCTCTGGCCGAAGGCCTGCTTGACGGAACCAATGAGACGGATGTACTCCTCAATGATGATACCAAAGGTCAAGACATCCTGCTGCGCTTGGCGGTCGTAGACGTCGCGGATGGTCAGCTGGAGCTCTGACAGCGCATCCAGGGGGCCGGACAGAGATGGCGAAAGCTCAACGGTGGAGAGGGCGTGCAGGGACGCAGAAAAGTCTCCGGCAGCCTCTGCCATCATCTTCCGCTGGCCGACCATTGTCTCCATAGCCTTGAGCAGCGCCTTCAACTGGTTCTCGAGTGCGTCGAGGTACACCTTGCGGTCGTGGAACCACTGTAGCTGTTAGTCGTGCACCATACATACAACACCACTGCACTTACATCATCCTGCTCGACGAATTTGCTGCTGCTGCCAACACTGATGCCCAGGCTTCCAAGAACGCCCTTGCTTTCGGTGGGAAGTGGCTCTCGGCGCTCCTTGTGCTTGACATCTACATTGAAAGACTCGCTCTCGAGGAACAGCTTCAAGTCCGCGTCATGCTGCAGTGTCGGGTGGGCAGCGGTCTTGTTCAGCATCTTCTCGAGAGCAGCCCGACGTCCCTCGACAAAGTTACTCTCGAAACGACCGACGGCCTGCTTCTCCGGCGGAGGCGGCACAACGACTCCAGGGTTGTTTCCGTGTAGTGTGTTGTAGAGCCACAGAAAATCGCGGTATCTGCGCTTGACCTCGAACTCGGGCTGCTTGTAAGCCTTGGAAGAAGTCTACACCTCATTAGCGCCAGCCCAACCCATCATGCGTTCTTCCCGACTAACCTTGGTCCGCACAGAGTAGACGATATGCGAGCTGGTCAGGTCGCCGACCTTGTGCGGGTCGCCCACGGTGATCTGAAAGGTCGGTTTGCTGGCCTGCTCCACGCTCACGCTGGGCTGGGTATGCGTCCGCACGGGACTGGGATGCGCGGCCTGCACCGGCGGCGGCTGTCTCGGGCCAGAGGGGCGGTCGTACTCGTCGTCGTCGATGCGGTGCGGGTCGGCCGGTCCGGAACGTCTGGCCTGCTGCTGCGGCATCGTGGTGCGAATCACCATCTGCTCCTTCTGCGGCGGGACGGGCGGAGCGTCCAGGCCCGCGTCGGCGCCATTGTCGGCGGCGGCGGGAGCGCCGAGAGGGCCCAAGGGGCCGAGAGGATCGTCGACGGCCTCAAGGCGGGTGGGCTGGGCGACTAGACGGCGGACGGGACCGGAGCGTGACGGACGGGGTGCGGAGGTCGAGCTGGGAGCGTCCGACTTGGCCTCGGCCTGCGACGTCGTCGTCGACGGCTCGTTCTGGGAGGAGGGCGCTTGGGAGCTGGGCTCGGAGGTGGGTTGCGAATCGCCCCAGGGCGACTCTTCAAGAGGATCCATGGTAATTGTATTTGCGCAGTAATCGGGATACTCGTGGATTGGATTGGCGTCGACGAGATCAAGACCACGCAGGCGGATGGGGGAGAGAAGAGGGCGGGATGTCGTAGTTGGAGGTTACGCAAGGCAAGACAAGGCAGCACGGCCGCTTCTGGTTCTGGTCTTACCTCACCTTACTGACGCTCAATGCGAAGGTACCAGCTGCTCCGCACCATGTGATTCGCTGCTGCCCATTCGGTATTGGGAGCTACAGCCACAGCGCCCGATCGGGAGCCCCCAAAGGCCCCTGTAGCTGCCCCAGGCCATTGCTTAATGGCGTCCCCTGTAGTCATCACTCACCGCACACCGAAATGGTGGGTGACATTCCAGCCCGACGAACAAAACATCGCAAGGAGATGAAGTAACTACCGAGTGTATTTCTGATTTACAGAGACGGCTAGCATGCGTGCTGCCTGGTCTGGTTATCCTATAGAGACATGCCTGCCCTTCGTCCCCGCCCCCAACGCCAAACTGGATGAAAGCAATCTAATTCCACCCGCCCAGAACATTATTCGGCGGCCTTCGTCATCCTTTTCAGCGGTCGGGGTCGTAGCAGCCGCCGGCCACAATCAGGTTCATCCGCGTGAACTGCACCTTCATGACCGGTGTCTTCTTGGTCGGGAACGCGCTGATCTGGTCAGGCGTAATCATCACCTCCTTGCCCTTCTTCTTGCCACTGCTTGGTGCGCTGGAGCTACCACCAGCAGCTCCCTGAGTGCTTGCGTTCGGACGCTCCGTCTGTCCTGTGGCAGCGACGATGGTATCACTTCCCTCTTGCGCAGGCGCTGTTCCAACCTGTTGCTGGACAACCTTATGGCCCTCGGCAGGCAGTTCAACATCCCATACACGGACAGAGCCGTCTTGTCCACCAGACACGAGAACATTGGACTCGACGCTGAAGCTCATCGACCAGATGCCACCCTTGCCGTGGCCGCGAGACCGCTTAATCCGCGCGCCCTTCTGGATGTCCCAGAAGAAGATGTTGCCGCTGTTATCGGCACTGGCGAGGATCTTGCCGTTGGGTGCGCACTCAAGTGACGAGATGTAATCCGTGTGTCCACTAAAGACGCGGACGCACTGGCCGGTGACTACAGACCACATGCGAACCGACTTGTCCGTCTCGTCAGAGGCGGTGAACACGTAGGTACCGTTTGGATGCCAGGCAACCGCAGAGATGCTGGAGTCGTGTCCGACAAGAATGCGCTGGGCCGAGGCGTGGTCCTGCATCCAGATGCGAGCCGTCTTGTCCCAACCGCCCGTCAAGAAGTAGTGTCCGTGAGGACTCCAGCTTGCTCTCAGAACGGGACCGTCATGACCCTTGAAGACACACACGCAGGCCCAAATGTCGAGAGACCAGATGCGAACGGTGCCGTCGGCGGAGCTAGACAGCAACAGCTTCGAGCTGGTCTCAATGGGCTGCTCGCCCTTGCCCTCCTCGCCAAACGGCGCGTGCTCAAGCTTGGCGATGGCGTCAGAGAAGGAGACGGAGTATACCGGTCCAGAGTGGCCAATGAGCTTGCGGTTGTTGAACTTGAAATCCTTCTCGTCGGCTCTCTTTGACTTGAGCGCCTTGCCCTCGAGATGCCACACGCGGATGTAGGAGTCAGTGGTGCCGACTGCGACCAGCTCGTGGTCTTGGGAGAAGTCCATGCATGCGACACTGTTTGGTTAGCTGCGTTCACCAGCAAAGAAGAGACGAGATTTACCTTCCGAGAGTGTTGTGGAATGTAAATATGCATGCGCTGACGGGAACGCCAACGCCACCAGTGCGGCCCTCAATCTTGAAACGATCGCGATTTTCTCTAACCTTCTGCATCTCCATCACAACATCGCGGGCGCGGGACGGGGGAAGAGGCAGATCGCTTCTGTTAGGGCCATCCGCACTCTCCTCCCTCTTGATCTTGCGGTCAAACTCGTCGACCAGAGTAGACCTGCCATCGGGCGGGGGGTTGAGAGCATCCTCATCAGCAAGCTCAGCCCGCACGTCGTCGCGGAGATCTTCCTCCATTGGCAAAGCACCCAATTTCAAAGGCGCAGTCTTGTCGAGCAGGTCTCGGTTGGAGATACCCGTGAAGGCTCCAGGGATTCCCTCCTGCAGGTCAACCTCGTCAAAGTCCAGGTTCTGACTCCGTCGGTAGATTGCCTCGAAGCTAAAGGGCTCGATAGGCCCGCGAGAGGTCGAATCCAGCTGACAGAAGGTCTGGAGGATGTAGGTAATGACAGCGCCGCCGTTGTCGCGCTCACGCTCGAGGAAGTGGAAGAGATTGCCGCTAACATGCTGGTTCAGGGGGATGCGATACTTGTTCTCGCGGTAGAGCTTGGTGGTGGGGTTCTCCTTGGCGTGGAGGGCCAGGGTGACGGTGGAAAAGGTCTTAAGGTCGTCGCCGTGGATGTTCTCAAAGTATGGCTTCAGGGTGTTGAGGAGGCTCTTAGCATCTTCCGAGTAACCTTGCGTGACCAGCTCGAGCCAGGAGTAGACGAAGACGGGCCAAAGCAGCTTATTCAGCTCGAACTGGGAGGTGTTAGCATTGACAGATAGGAGGAGGCTGAGAGCACACCTTGTAGATGTCGAGGTTGTTCTCGACCCATTCGCGCAGCAGGTTGAAGGCCTTGAGGTACTTCTTCGGGCCAAGGTCGTCGACCTTGTTGTGAATGGGTCGACCGTCTGGACCCAGGTGACTTGATTCTTGGCGGAAGATGGTCTCGGTACGGGTATAACCCCTTTTGAGAAGGTAGTCTGTGACCTAAAGCTTCTGTTAGCAATAATCCAAGGATCGTTGAAGACGTTGATCAAGATGCGGGATCAAGAGGCGCGCCTTCCGCCTCTCCCAGCCATAATTGTCCTCGTCGTATAGTATCTGGCGTCATACTTCTCCATGCACCCTGTTCCAGAATAGATCATCAAGAGGCTGTAAATATTGGGCCACTTGGACCGTTGCAGCTCGCGACATAATTCCAGATGCGCAAAAGTCGATACAGAAATGATGCAGACTCGACAAATGAGGCGGTGATGATGTTTCGTCTTGGCTTCTGACAGGTGAAACTGGTGCAGGACATGAGAGAGCGAGACTCTTTGTGGGCAATCTCACCTCATCACACTCGTGATGAAAGAGCCACCGTCGCTACGACCACCTCGCAGGCAGCACCTTCCCCATCGACCTTACCCCGCCTGAGAATAAACATGAATAAATAGGACACCTACGATCTGGTTCAGATTTTGATTCGACATTGGAGCGGCAGCGGGGGCAGGCGCAGGCGCTGGTGTGGTGGCAGGAGGCGGTATGGGGGTTGTCGAGACTGGAGGAGCTGCGGCGCCTGGTGTTGTAGATGCAGGTTGCTGGTAGGTACCCGGCGCGCCTCCAGCGTTTGGAGCTCCTCCTGCAGGGGCTCCTGCTCCCGTCTGACCGGCATTGGCCGACATTTTGATCGTATCTTCCTAGATTTACAGTCTTCTTGACGTCCTTTTTCGATTACTCGGTCCAAAACTGATGGTACATCCTCCTCGTCGGGCAGGTGAGGCGCGTGGTCGCAAACGTGAATCTAGGTCGCGAAAGAGCGACAATATCTATACGGAAATTCGAACTGAGAGTGATTACGATGAATAAGTGATCCGGGCCTTGCTCGGTGTTGATGGCTATGTTTTCGCTGAGAGAAGCTTGATGGTTTTGATGTTGTCGCGTCACCCCGATGAGTGAGGCTCGATCCCCTGCAAGGCTGCAAAGACGTGGAAAGAGAGGTTGGCAGCGGAAAATATCCATCAAAGGTCGCGCTAGCCTATTTCGGGACTGGTGCACTGCGAGCTTCCCCAATCATTGGAAGGAGCTCCGACCTTTTTCACCTTCCAGGCCCACATTTTCTTTGCGACGCGGTACCTCATTGATGTATCTTTTGAGCTTCACTCATTCAACCTCTCATCTCATCCTTGACGTCGCTTTGAAGGATTCGAGATCGAGGCGGCAAACAAAGAATCCTCAAACATGGCCGACACAAACATGTCAGGCGATCAGCCCGCCGAGCCCTTCACCCTCGAAGAACGCATTCAGCAACTCTGCGACATCGACAAGAACATTGTCCAGCTCATGAACCACACCTCCTCCGCCATGTCCGCCCTGAGCAACAAGCCCCAGTCTTCGTCGTCCAACACCACAAGTACCGTCTCCCCCGAAGACCAGAAACAGCTCTTCAAAGACTCAATGGACTCCCTCTTGTCAACCCTTCACACAGTCGACGTTCATATGAAGCGCCAGATCATGGGCCTCGAGGAGGCCGGCATCATCAAGCTCCGCAACGACGCTTCTAAGGAAAGGCAGGTTGTCATGAACGAGGATGCCAAGATCGTCGCCAGACCCTCGTTGGAGCCAAATGGAGTTGGCACCATTGGCAACCTGGACGTTGGGTGGCTCAACAGCCGCAACAACAAGGTCGAGCGCGACATGGAGGCCGAGCTGTGGGCGAAGATGAGGGAGTTCCTTGAAAAATACCATGCAAATGAGCAGCCAGGAGGAGCCGACAGGATGCAGCAGTGAGGATGGCTTTGACGTATGCAATACTGAGAACATGCGATCGAGACGACCAGCATGATGAGAGAATGATACAGTAGGTGACCTTTTCATTTATATTCACACGCAGTGCTGACCGTTCAGACATAATACCCCATCGTCAGCTTAATGCTTGACGATCAGAAATACGAGGCCGAGGGGCACGATGCCCGTCACTGGGGAGCAAAACACTCGGCGCTTTGGCAGAGAATGAACAATGCTTCTGATTAAATGCTCCTAACAAATACCACCTATCCATGCTTCATGTGACATCCACCCATCGTTGACAATGCATGTCTCGTAACAAGTGCGTGCTGATGATAAAAATAACCAATAACCGTACCCAAAGCGATGAAGCCATGCTCAAACGCCAATGCAAACAATGTGACAGACAGTGTTGCCGTCCGAATCTCAACCAAAGTGAGAGAAATGAGAAATCGTTTTCCGTGTTGCCCTCCACACAACTGCCGTAGAACGCATTTGGTATTGCCAGCTCAGATCTTAATGCTCTGGTAGCCCTCGACGAGAGCAGCGGCATTCTTGGTGACCGCAATCCATTCTGGGGCATATTGCAAAGCTTCGTCAAACGCAGGAATGGTGCCCAAAACGTTTGCGTCACTCCATGCGCAGCTAATCTTACCCCTAAGCCGGGGTAGATCAGACAGAGGGCCGTCTGTTTGACGGAGTCGGAGCTCTTCATGGGCGTCTGGACCAACGGCGGAGGCTGGAGAATCTGCCGAGGGCGAAGACGCAGCGATGACCTTCGGGCCACCTTTGGCCCATTCCAAGTCCACAGTCCAAGGCTTTGACCAATCTCTGCGCCAAAGGACGATGTTGGTCACCGGAGACCCTTCTGGCTTCCCCAAAACGGTCTCAATTCCAGCGTTTTCGTGGACGTGCCAAGCTGAGACCTCGTCAGACAACGACAACGTACAAGACTTGGACTTTTTGGCATCGATTTCAACCGTGGCCTTGTAGTCGCTCGAGTTCGAGCGGCTCACGTTGAAGGTGATAAGGTCAGCGTACTTGTTTTTGGCCGAGTCGTTGGATAGGCTGCTTGTTATCTTGGGCAGCAGGGCCGTTGCGTTATACACGCATTCATGGAGTTCGAGTCGAGATGGGTGACATGAAATATCTTGGCCGACAGCTGAAGGAAGCTCCCTAATCATCTCGCGAACATACTTCTCGATGCCGGTGATGTGAACGAACGAGGACTCGTCTTGCAGTTGGACAGACTGCTGGAACCTGACCTTGAGACGACTTTCCGAGGAAAATGGAAACGCAACCAGATTGTAGACAAGGGTGATGGCAAAGAGGAAGACCAACAGCACAGGCAGATGGTATGTGACCCGGTGAATGAAAGGGATGACTGGCAGGAGAAGGAAAACACTGAAGACAGCCAGGATCAGGTACGACCACAGCGAATCGATACCATCTGCACTGACTTGGTTTAACGCAGACGTGATGAAGAGCGCGATTTGACTGAAAACCACAATGTTGATCGGCGCCAGTACCAGAAGTTGAACAATCCAGGTCCACGAGGGCAACTTGGCGGCCCATGGCTGTTCCTTCTCCTGCGGCGACTGGGCATCTTCCTTTGCTTTGGAATCGCTGTCGCTGCCCGCAGCGGCTGCGTTAGATCGTCGGTAGCCCGAAGTGAAAGTCTGTCGAATCGTGCCATGGTTTGCATTCTCCCCGCCCAACAGAGCACTGGTCTCCGTCGGCTCTCCGGTTTGTTCTTCCGCAGGTGCGCGAGAGGCGGTCTCGCTTGGTGCGGGAGAAATCAGAGCATCCGAGTTGGGAACTTCGGCAACATCATCGCGATTTTGTTGGTCGTGGTAGGCTGCTTCGGCAAAATCCTTCTTCGCCGGCAAAGCGAAAAGGTCCAAGAGGCTGATCAGTGCCGCGACAAACACGGCCGAGTGAAAAAAGGCCAGTGGATAGACGCCGGCAATTTTGAATCGATCGATGAGGACCGTTGCAGCAACCAGAAGAGTCCAGCTGAATATGAACAGCCAGATGTGGGCATATCCTCTCTGGAGACCGCTGGGTCTCATGGAGCTTGCTCCCTTCGAGATCAGCCAGAAGCTGATGAAGAATAAGGAGAGAAAATTTGCCCATCTAGTCGTGTCAGAGGTACTCGATTTTGTTTGCTCTTGAGGGAACTTACACTACATATTCACTGCTGTAGATGATCTCGGGATTGACTTTGTGGGTCAAGAAAGCCGCAGCAAGCGTCAGACCGGCGGAAAAGACGAAGGCAAGCGGAATTCGGAAGAAACCCTTCCACCCTCCAAGGGAGATGGACGCATCGTCTGCGTCGACCTTGGCGTTGCGAGAGAAGTAGTAGTACTTGTCATTTCGGGACAAGAGGTAGCTGACGAGGACAAGAATCAATGGTGTCACGATGAGCAGAGTCAAAGCCCATGCGAAGAGGCCACGCAGCTCCAAAGCGGCGAAGCCCTGTCCAAACATGTCGAACCAGGCGCCCTCGGTGGGATGGCCACTTGACACCTTCCTCTTGTCTCCTTCTGCTGGTGAATCACCGGTGAAGGAGGACGTGTCTTTCTGGAGATGGTCGACAGCTGCCAGGGAGTTGGTCAGCATGTGCCACATGCTCTCTCTGGACGCATGGCGGGTGTCGTCCTGGTTGGTGTGGTATCTGGCGCGAGGACGGTAGAAGGCGATGTCCAGACCACGCTGGCCAAAGTTGTCCTTCCATACACTATAATCGGTTCCACTCTTAATGAGGCCCAACTGGAATCCATCGAAAGCAACGACAGAGCCGAAAGGATGTGGCGCATGATTGTATGCTTTGACGACTTCCAAATCGGTGGCGCGGAACAAAATTGCTCGTCCGCCTGCGCCGGCACCCTCAAGATTGACGAACGTGGTGGTGAAATAGTACAGAGGGCTTTGGACGTATGCCATGGCTCCGTAAAGGCCATCCTCTTCGCCGTTGTTGAGAAGGAGAACAATGCCACGCTTGGGCTGACGACCCGTGACATTCTTCGTGTAGTAGTCGAGCATCTGGAGTATACTGACGCACCCCATACCGTCATCAGTTGCGCCATAACCAGTGGAAACACTGTCATAGTGAGCATTGACGAGGACACCGCCCTTGCCAATCTTGCGGCCTTGATCACGTTTCCACCACTCGCCATCCTCGTCTTCGGTGCCCCGGATGTACACGAGCTTGTTCGTGCTTTCAAAGTAGTGGCCAGTTTCTCTGCCGTTGTAGGATATATTCGAGATCGTGTCGTCAAACACGGCGACGCGAGGACCCTGGGAGGCTATCTTGTCAACCGGCGAGGTAGATGTCTCGCTGCTTGAATGTTAGCTTCGGCATCATTCACCTCTGTGCAGGATACTCACACAAGAGCCTTGGTTCGCACAATGCCGCCAGCATCCTTTTCCTTGGTCCATTCGACACCATTTCGGTTCAGAATCTCCTCGATCCGCTTCAGCAGGAAGTTGCCGACCTCATCGTTGGCACGGCTGTTGTACGGGTGGTACTGCCTCGTGATGGTCGTCAGGTCGTGCCACGCCTCGGTGACGTTCAGTCCGTCGGTTGGCTTGAAGTTGGGAACAGTCTCGTGAATCCAAACAAGCGGGATCAGGAAGGCTGCGTATACAACAATCAGCCAGAAGGTGACCGGTCCCTTGGTGAACCCGAACGGGTTGACAGCCATGGCTGCCGGTAGTCTTGGGTATCGCTCGGAGATAGCGGTACTTCGAAAACGATGGAAGATGACAATACTCGGTTAGGAACGAGTGTGACAAAGGCTCTCGCAGCACGTATGTCGGTGGGAGGATTCGGAGTTGAGGAGGCTGACGCGCGGAAACATGAAAGAGTATGGGAATGCGTCATGTCCAGGCTGGTCTACTGCTCCGCTGTCTGGGGACCATGCTGCGCTTGCCCCGTACCCGTATCTCTTGCGCGACGGCGGGACGCTCAAAGTGGATGATGCACAGCACTCCTAGCGCAGAAGGTGGCCCAAGCTCCCTCCTGCCCTGGGTCCGGCGTTCGCGACCTCCTCCACCAGCGCCCACTAGAGCGCCTCCGGCGGCCTGTAGCCTGCGATATGGATGTCATTAATGCGGGGTTCTCATGCAACTGCGACGCTCGACATGCAGCTTGCGCCTGCTTTTGCGCCGGTTCGCCTGTCGATGTCTTGGGGTGGTGCGACTCAATTGGGACATTGCACGTATTCGGGGAGAGTCCAATCACGAATGGCGAGTGGTGCACGAAGGTTTGGGGGACATCTGTCTGGAGCAACTCTCGGCGTCCACACTCGGATCCGACTCCGAGACAGCGCTTGGGCTGTTACAAACAACTTCACGTGAACGGATTCAATTTTGAAAAATGAGATGAACTACTACTATCCATGCTGTGGCGTACGAAGGACCCTATAAATTAGTGCCGACTTCAATCTATCATACAATTTCATCTGCGCCTTCTGCTTCTCGGATCTGCTTCACATGAACGAGGGTACGGGTACCGGCAACCTGGAAGTCATGTTGAATCCCTGGTCGTTAGTCCATCGTTAGTCGGCGCGTGCCGTCAGTATCCTGTTAGTTGCCTGTTGTCCTTGCTGTGTTGCATCAAGCACCCGGGGGAGGCGGGGGAGGTTGGTCGCTTGGGGGCGGAGGAGGAGCATTGTCGGAGGGAGGTGGAGGGGGGGCACCACCGGCATACTGCTGAATGAGCGCGTTCAGACCACCGGCCAGACCAGGAGGAGCACCGAGACCGGGAGCGCCGGGGGGAGGAGGCGGGATACCCGCGGGAGCACTCATGCCAGGAGGGGCACCGTATCCAGCGTAGCCGCCGTAGCCACCACCATAGCCGTTGTTCTGCGTTCCAGGAGGTTGATGCCAAGGGGCGGCACCGGGAGCGGCACCAGAGGACTGGCCACCGTAGCCCTGGCCGTAGTAGCTGTCGCCGCCGTTTCCACCGTGTTCATCACGGCGGCTGCCACGGTCACGAGCCCAAGGAGCAGCGCCGCCGCCGCCGCCACCACCACCGTCGCGGTCACGATCGTCTCGCGAGTCGTTGTTACGGCTGCGCCAGGGAGCAGGACCACCAGTGGGACCACGTTGCCAGGGCTTCGCGTCGCCGCTGGGGCCGTTATTGTACGAGCCAGGGCCGGCCTCGATGCGCGCAGGAGCGGCACCGCTGGAGGAGCCGCCGCCGAGTTCTTGCATGAGTTGCTGCTTGGGTTAGCTTGTGTCGCAAAAGTCAACAGATTGTGGTAACATACCTCGTACTCGCGGTCGACGGCATCTCCGCCTCCAATACGACCGGCAGGTCTGCCACCGGGGGCGCTGCCATCGTTACGCCAGCTGGCACCCTTCTGGCGGTCGGGACAATCTCTGGCCATGTGTCCTGCGTTGCCACAGACACGGCAAATGATGCTGGCAGTGTAGTTTTGTCTCTCGGGGCAGTCGTACTTGCGGTGACCGATTTGACCGCAGTTCTGGCAGGCCTGGTTCTCGTCGTCTCGGAGTGTACCGTTGAGAGCAGCGAGCTCACGAAGCTGGTTACGCTTGAGCTCGTTCTGTCCCTCGGGAATCGAGGCGGCCTATTTCGAGGGTAATTAGCAGGTGACGAAAAAAACGAGGGGTAGGAACGTACCGTTTCAATGATGTTGTGTATGAGCTTCTTGGCCTTGTTGACCTTCTCCTCTGTGTCGGCCATGATGAGACAGTGCAGGTCCTCCTCCTGGTTGCTGGCGTGGGCGGCGTCGGAACGACCCTTTCCCTCCTTGACGGAGCCTTTGCCACGAATGGCAATCTTGGCGCCTGATTCTGTTTCCATCTTTTTCAAAGTGTTGCCACGGGGTCCGATAAGTAAGCCAACTTCAATGGGAGAGCTACGCGTTAGTATCTGTATCAAAAGGGTGAAGCAAGTAGTGACGGTCCCGATCTGACAAGGCCAGGTCTGACAAGACACCTGGAGGATGCATGACAAGTTTGGCCGAGATCCAGGCAGGGAACAAGGGAAACAAGAATTTTGGTTAGGAGGGTTAGAGGGTTAGCAATCATACTGAAGTTAATCTCTGGATAGTCGTTAACAGGCACGTAGACCTTTTCTTGGGTCTTGGTGGGCCTGCGGTAATCCTGCGGCGGGTGGTAGTTAGGAATGGTTTTCATGGCCTTCTCGATGAGCTTGTGGCGCTCATCTTCGAGGCGCTTGCGGTATCGGTATTCGCGGGTGTTGATACGGCGACCGTGGTTGTCGTACTGCGGAGGCGGAGAGGGGGATCTAGAGAGTTAGCCAAAACCATCGGGTATGCACGCGAAGGAGCTTACCTGTCTCCATCCGCGGGGACGACGTCGTCGATACGAAGCTTCTGGCTGATCTCCGTGATACGCAAGTGCAGAGTGTAGGCCTCGAGCTGCTCGCCCGTCATGTTCGCCGTGATGGCCGTCGTCAGGCCCATCAGGCCGGCAGCCTTGTTCTCCGACGCGTCGCCCCAGCGGTTTCTCTTCTTTCGGCGTCGAGGTCCATCGCCGTCGGTGCCTGTTCGTGATGTCAGATTATGTTGCGAAAACTCGGGGGCGCCAAACCGAAGAGACTTACGAGGCTCTGGGCTGCGACCGCGCTTCAGCTCGCCATTGCCGTTGCCGTTGCTGTAGGCTTCAGGCTCCTCATCGTCGCCACCGAAACGGCGCTTCCCGAGAGGGATGTTGTTGGAACCCGTAATTCCCTGGTTTCTCCACGACATGTTGATTGCTGCGCGATAACAATGGTATGTCGCAAGGAGGTGATGTGGTGTGATGGCGAATGGGATTGCGATGAAGGAGGAGGGAACTTTTATATGGAACCGAGTTTAGCGTGGACCTGCGGAGACGGAAACCATGTCCGAAGCACTGGCTGACCTAGATCGGCTGCGACTGGTGCCAGCTGCAAATCTTGGCAACGGCGAGGCAGGTGGGGTTCACCACGTGATAGGGAGTCAAAGTTTTTAGAGCAAACTCACTCAACTCTTCACTTACAGTCACCCGCTGCCTAAGAACGATAACACCAGCAGGAGGAACCAAGCAAGAATGAAGGAAGTCTGCAAAACAGCCAGTGTCAAAGCGGCAAAAAGATGTGATCAGTGGGAGGCTTGAACTCCCGGCCTTGGCATTACCAGATACACCAGGTGATGTATTAGTACCACGCTCTAACCAACTGAGCTAACCGACCTGATTCGGCTCATTGGAGCTTGAGTGGGCAGTCCAGTTCTGGCCCCTTGTAGCGGAGCCTAGGCCGCGCGATCCGGCTCAAGTTTCGTTCGCGTTGGATTGAGTCTTTAATCTGCCTGCTTAGGCGTCAATCATCTTGGGATGGGTGAAATGAGATGGATTGTTTTCCTACTACTTAATCGGAATAATTAGCATGTCCTGCTCACCTCTTGTTGTATCTCACACGCACCTCAGCCTGGTCAAATGGTCTCCATGTCTCTCATCACTGGCACCAGCAGATGTCACATTACTAAAAACATCAAGCGCTCGAATGAATTACTTTTCACGAGGTATCTACGCCCTATTTCTTGGCGGCATCCTCCTGCATGCCCTTCAGGATCCACGCGCTGGCACCCTTGGCCTGCTCATCGAGCTCCTCGTCCGTCTTGCTGTAGTGCTCCAGCGCCTTGTGAGGCGAGGGAACGTGACGTCCCGCCTCGAAACCGGGACGCTCGACGAGCTTCCACAGCCACGCCTTCAGCGCGGGGAACTCCTCGAGGTCGATGCCAGCCCACTTGGCAGCCGCGACCCAGCCCCAGCACGCCATGTCGGCGATGGTCACCCGGTCGCCTACGAGGTAGCCGTGGGGGTTCGCCTTGAGCTGGGTGTCCATGGTGCGGTACAGGCGGCGGGTCTCGTTGGTGTAGCGGTCGATGCCGTACTGGATCTTCTCGGGAGCGTAGCCTGGGGGAGTGGTCAGCCTTCCTTTCGGGATAATCTTTGACGTGCAGTAGCAACTCACGCTTGAAGTGGTTGGCCTGTCCCTGCATGGGTCCGAGACCACCCATCTGCCAGTGCAGCTGCATCACATTAGCTCAATTCTCTCAACCGACCCGCTTGAAGCATACCCAGTTGTTCACCTCCCAGTACTCGCGAGATCCGTACGGGTAGGAGACCTTGTGGTCCTTGTCGTAGCGGTCGACGAGGTACTGCATGATGCTTCCGCTCTCAAACAGACGGATGGACTTGCCATCCTCAAAGGTGTCGGTCAACGCGGGGATGCGGCCATTGGGGTTGATCTCGAGGAACCAGGGCTCCTTCTGGGTGTTCTTGGAAATGTCAATGGCGGTGGTCTTGTAGTCCAGGCCAAGCTCCTCCAGCAGAATGGAGACCTTGATACCGTTGGGCGTGCCCATGGTGTACAGGTGGATATCGGTCTTGGTCTTAGCAGCCATGTTGAATACTTGTTTACTCAACTGTCCCAGTCGGGTCGTCATGAATGGGTGGAATGAATAAGGTACGTGGACAAATTCCGCAAGAGGAGCACGAGATGTCGTCAGAACAGGGTGTTGAAGATGGTTCAGTGCAAACAAGGAAAGAACTCGACGCCGAGGCCAGAGTTCCTAAATACTAATCCAGAGCTCATTGACCCCTCCCCTCGCCCGCGTAGCTGTACAGCTGTTACCTTAATAATATGGGGTGGGAAAGACCCGCCAGGACCCCCGTGGAACAGCGCTGAAGCCATGCGGCAAGCACTGTTCCAATGTTGGGAAATGCTTCCGTCACAGTGACCCCTCCACCGCGCCCTTCTTCCGCGGGGCCATCCAGACGTGCTTAGAAATCACACACCCAAAGCCACTGCTGCAGCCCAGGGCCCCAGGCATCCCACCACAATGAAGCGATGGCGTCACTCCGCTCCAGTCCCCCGCGGGCGGTTCGCGTGCCGAAAGAAGTGGGGCCAATTATAGAGCTCGGAGCTGCAGGCATGGAGCTGCGGCGTGTCCCAAACACGATAACTAAGCATCCCAACCTCACCTCACCTCGCCTGGTTGTATCGGTAAGCAAGAAGCTCTTCGCCGTCCGGCTCGGTGTCGAGTCGCGCCGGTCAGGAGTGCCGGCTCCGGGTCAGCAGATCAAGTCCGTGGGGCTCCGGCTCCCGTCAGCAGAACCTGCCTATTGGGGTCATGTAGGGCCACGAAGGATGCGCTAGCATTCAGGAACCAAAGTCCCTTTGTGGTGTTTTCTCTCTTACCTTTCTTCTCATCGCCTCTGCGGTTTCGTCTCATGATACCCACGTGGCCTCGCGTGTCCGTTATGGACCTTGATGCAGGGTCGTGGCTAACATGCACCCACCTTTTGTGTTGCATATTTGTCTAGATGTGTGATTTAAAATCTCAACATCCCCCTGAGCCAACGACGTGGTTTTTTACACTCTACATTCACCCATCACATCACCAGGGACACAGACACCGGGGAATTGCTTCAACTGACACTATAATTTCATGCTTGTACTAACTGCTACTCAGGCTTACACTTCGATCCCGTTAACCCCATATACTCCTCATTACCACAACGCTTGCGCCTATCCCGGCAACTCCTACACATCTTGTCGCTGGACCTGCTTCTACATGGAGAAACGCGTCATCTCCATCATTACCTCACATCCCCAACCATCTCTTTACCGATGGCCAAATGCTGATTCGCCCCAGCCTCTCTAGCAAATTGGCTTCGCTGCGCCGCACATCCTGTTTTATACCGCCCCTGGCCCCGTCGACCAGTGCATGGACTGGGACCTTTGCCGCTACTGCTGCAGTCATCGTTGCTGCTGAGTTTGTTGTAGTTGCTGAGGCCCTTGCTCCTGTTGCTGCTGAGGCTGCTGCTGTTGCTGTTGTTGCTGAAGCTGTAGTTGCAGCTGCTGCAGTTGCTGCCGAGCCTGTTGAACTTGCTGCAAAGCCTTTTGCTGTTGCTGCTGTTGCAACTGCTGAACCTGTAGTTGCAGCTGCCGCAGTTCCTGCTGAGCCTGTTGAAGTTCCTGAGACTCCTGCAGCTGCTGGGGCTGTTGCTGCTGAGGTTGCTGTTGCTGCTGTTGCAACTGCTGAACCTGTTGCTGTTGTTGTTGACGTCCCTCGTATACAAGCTGCATCTGCGGGTCTAACGGCAGTTGGAGTTGCATCGACAATCCCGACGCAGGTTGCGATGGAGCCCGACCTTGCCGACGGAATCGTGAAGTCCCCCGTCTGCTGTATTGTCGAGGCGGCACTCCATTCTGCGACGAGCTTGGTCCTGCCTCATAGCCGTATTCGTGCCACACATAGCTGGGTCCCTGGCCGTCTTCCAAGAGCGTGCGCCGCATGTCGTCATTGCGCCGAACTTCCCAGCGGCCGTATCCCAAAGGCACGCATCTGACTCGGTCTTTGCCTGGAGAAGAAGTTGGATCCTTGCGCATATACTCTCGCATGCCGTTATTGAGCAACTGAAGTTCCCAGGGAAGGCATGCTGGACCGTGCTTGGAATGCCTCGTCCACTCGATTGGGGTAGGTGGCAGTTCATGATGACCCTTTGCGTACAGACAATACGAGGCCCGCACACTCATCGTCGCGATGTCTCGAGGTATACTTGCCGGCTGCCCACTGCGAGATCGTCAGCTAATAGATTATAGGGGTTTGTGGATTCAAAATACCTCTTCAGTGCGGCACGGGCATTCCTCACAGTAAGTGCCCATGCCATATAATCGCAGAAATCAATGGAAAGATGCTTTTTCTGGGCATCGGGAATGTTGTCAGATCCTCGATCAATCCGTGCAGGGCCCCCGTTTATGGTCTGGGCCTTCGGGTTCATGTCCTGGTTCTCCCCGTTCATGGCCTGGGCCTCCGCGTTTGTAATCTGAGGCTCCTCGTTCATGGTTTGGGTCTCCGCGTTCATGTCCTGGGCCTTCGCGTTTGTGATCTCTGGCTCCTGGTTGGTGTACTGTGCCAGCGTGTCTTTCAGGGCCCGGATTTCCTCATTCATGGTCGTGGCCCCCGCGTTCACGAGCTCGGCATCCGCGTTCATGTTATGGCTCTGCTGATCCTGGGTGTTTGCGCTACCGAAAGGAAAGACAACCGACGTGGGCTGCAAATCCGGTTGGAAAGGCTGGCCGGGCTGGTCAGTCTCCATCACCATAGGCTCCTCTGGGACAGCCGGGATCGGCCATTGAATCTGAGGCTGCTCGCCAGCTTGACCAGCAGCGCCAGGGCCGACCAGGGATGGGCTTGACTGCGGAGCTGGCTCGTCAATACTGCCGAGCCAGGCGTCTTGGCTTAACTGGTAATTGTGCCATTGGCTGGCTCCGACCGTGTAATCAAAGCCTGGGCTGGTTCCAACTGAGAGTGCGTCTGAGAGTGACTCCGCCCACTCAAGATCCCTCTCCATAAGGCTCGGAAGCATGAGGTCACCCGCATCCGCGGATCTATCATTGAAAGGGTTGGAGTCCATCTTGCTTCTGTCGTGTGCAAGTCCGCGCGTAGAAGGTGAGGGTATGGAAGGATAAAATCAAATACTGAAAGAGATGCTCCAGGTTAGACAAAGAGACAGTGCAATTATGGCGGTGATGTGTGAGAGATGAAGATAGGTGGAAACAGGCCAGCAGAAATATGTGTAAGGCCAGGAGAGAAGAAGGAAAGGACGGAAGGGAAGGACGGAAGGAAAGGAAGGGGAGACAGGGAGGGGCAAGAAGGAAAAAGGAGGAAGCAACTCACTATTTGGTACGTCGGCTCAACGCGTTACTTAACGAAAGAACTCGACAAGACTGACCCTTCACAGATGCAATTTTTTTTCTCTCGATATTTTCGACTCGGTCTCGGCTCTGTAGCTTCGGTTTTGCGCTGTAAATCTCTCTTGACCACGGGCGTTCGCAGACAACCCACGGTAGACCAATGTCAGAAGACACAAACACTTGAACGTCGATGACAACTTGATCTTTTCTGGACGAGAATTTGAAAAAGGTGCTGCTGGGATGGATGGTGCAGAGGGAGAGGTTGGCCAAGAAGACGATGGGGTAGCGGCTACTTGTACTGTGATGGCAGGAACCGTAATCACCCAGCCAGCTTTTTGGCCCGCTACTTCCCTCTTTGTCATTATGCTCAGCCAGAATGAAAGTTCATACGGGCGAAGGCCTGACATGGCTAGCAAGGTCGCGGTACGCTGTCAAGTTCGGTATGTATCTCCTTCAGACGAATCGGAGGACATCGGCCCAGCGCCCATTGACAGCTGACCTACCGATAGTGCAAAGCCCAGTGGTTGAAGTGGTATCGGTACTCGTCTGATTTTGTTGTGGGAAGCCCGTCTAGGTGCTCGCGAGGTCCAGAAGTCACAGGATGTACTTTTGATAAATTTGCTGAGGCAAGAGTAATATCAGAGAGAGCAGTGCCACTAGTCACGTATTCGGGGGAATATCGAAGAGCGTATTATCACCAAGTAGTCTCACACCAAATTTCCAACACTGATTCCTGAACCACGGCCCAAGTTTTTCTGAGCCTTCCATGTGAATCTACTCTACAAGCCTCTCTTTGGAGACCACACATGTATCTCGACGCCGCCCTGCTGAGATCCATACTATGCTCATTTTCACCACAGCCACCTCTCAATACATTTTTACACATCTCCCTGAAAATGTGACATGAACAAATCAAACTCTATTCAACTTGAGCACTTGTTTGCCTTAGGAAAACAGTATTGCCGGTCACTCGCACGTTGCGGTGCCGACCCCATATCAAGAATTTTCTAAACTTAGACCAGGCCATCTATGTTCGGTGTGTCACAACCGACCGTTGCGAACCATTGCCATTTTGTTTCTAAAACAAAAAAAGGGGAAAAGACACTTGTCGATGAGATTCCGTGCCTCATTTTCGAATAATTCAAGAAACAGACGGATTATCGTATGACCGGAGATATAAGATGAGGCGCACGTTGGCTTGCACATAGTGGCGTACAGGTCGGCAGTTCGACCAGCTCAGCGGGCTTCCGTATCACGCCCGACGCCCAACCCAAGTACATCTACGTACCGATGGCTTTCGTCTTTTTTTAAAAAAAAAAATCATTATGCCCCAAAGGTCAGAATGCTTTCAAAAGGTCATGCGGGCTTTGCGTTGAAGTTACAAAGGTGACCAAGCAGATAATACCTCCAGGTATCCTAAAATCTGTTCTAAAGCGCTCAATAGCTCCTTCGAGTCTTGACGAAGACATCCTAAACAAGAGTCTACCGTTCTCCAGCGGGCCGACGGGAGATAATCGGGGAAGACGTTTTGCTTTCCTCATTCTGCAAACGTTATCAATATGGTGGACAGGTTATTTAGATATGCCATCTCCGACGTGGCGTAGATATGGACGCATAAGCTTACTCTAAACACAGCCAGTAACATACACGGCTGCACACAGCCACCAAGGCTGCTCATACAGAAGTGGCCAAGATACGGTTGCCAAAGAGATGGCGCGTGGGAAGAACCGGCTACGTTACCCGCGAAGGTCTGTCATACAGGTAGTTGGATGAACCCCACGACAATTCGGGTACAATCAGCCTCAATGTGGGGCCCGTGGCTTTGAGGATGTCTTCTCTTGTACTCATGTAGCGTAGGTATTTGGATACTTGGAGGAATGAGAATCCACTTCGCCCTACCCTTCAGGGTTATTTCGAGCTCTGATTCTTCGCCTCAGCGCTGTAAATTCTCTGATTGGTCTAAAACGGGGGTTGGAAATTCTCAAATCTCCAAGTACATAGAGTATCTTGCACTCTTGATTAGCAACTACACGATTCCAGCCATCCACATGGCCTCTCCGCCACCGTACCTAGCAACAACCCTTATTCGGTGAAGGACCCATCCACTCACCAGGTGACTGAGGTGCAGAATCGGGCAGAGACCACTGGAAGCACGGAAAGCCCGGAAAAAGCGAACGTAGCAGGTCTCATTAGATTGATAACAAGAGCTGTTCCGATGTGCAAAAAAACCCATCAAGGCCGTCCGTCCGCCGGCTTGGTCATCTGAACAACTTGAATAACCTTGATATAGATAAGAGGGAGGAAATCTACCCAGTAACAAATACATGTACATGTCGTTACACCGTCCTCTCCGCCTGATGCCGATCCATTAGATGCTTCTCAGGAAAATACATGCTATGAACCCCTTCGTCCGAGTCAACTCAAACGTCCCAGTGTCCTCATCTCGGGACTGGTAAAAAATACAAACCCAGACTCCGGTGCCCGCCAAACTCCATTTTTCCGTTTTTCATTTCAAATTGCTGTCTGGAACGAGACGAGCCCGTCAAAACTTTGAGCTTTGCGCTCTGTGCTTCAAGGCTGCACCCGCAAGCCCACTGGCCTTCCCTCGTCGACAATCATCTGCTCGTCAATCCTCTTGCCGGTATCGCCCCATTCCACACGCTTCCACGTCAATATGCGCGCCTGGTTGGTGTCGACTTCGAAGACGCGTATCCGACGGTGGTAACCGCCGTAACCGCCGTAGCCACCAAAGCCGACGCCGCCAGCGTAGCACATCCACAGAGCAGGTTTGTTTTCCTTGTCAGTTGAGAGAGAGCAGTAGTCGTTCGCGTGGTCACTACGTTTTGTTAGACACGTCTGCAGGGAGGAGACAAGAGACTTACTGTCCGCAGCTGACCATGACGACGCCCTGGTCGACGAGGGCGTCGCGGAAACCAGAGTTAAAGTTTGGTGCTGTCACACCCTCCCTCCATTCACCCTTGATGGCGAGCTCTTGATCTCTGTACTCGGGAAGAGGGATGTGGATGAATGCCAAATCCATGTGGACATGGGTGTACTGCTTATGCGCCTGCTTAAGGCTCTGAGCCGTCTTCTTGAACCAGTCAATCTGGTTCTGCTTGATCCAGTCGTACCCATGCCACTTCTTTTCGTCAGGCGAGTAAGCGTGTGAGTCGAGCATGTACAGCGTCAGCGCCGAGTGGTCAGACTTGCCCCTAGCAAGAATCTCAACGTAGTAGTTGCCGACACCCTCAATGTCCTCCGGGCCAGCCTGCGCAAGTGAGTATGGCAGGGATTCGAGAATGGACATTTGCGCGGAGCGAGGTAGTGTGAGATCGTCATGGTTGCCAAAGATGGAGACGTAAGGAATCTTCATCTTGATGAGAATCGAAGCAATTTTGAAGATGGCCTGTTTTGTCAGCGCACGTCCATCTTTTGACCGCGGAGATGACCTACCGATTGCGCATCCGGCGCCGATTCACCATTCACTTGATCTCCGCTCAGCACAACCAAGTGTGGCTTCTCCTCGGTGAGGATCTTTTGCACAAAATCCAGCGTCCGGGGGTCCGCCTCGCACACGTCACCGTTGTAGCCCTCGGGCTGGGCGTCGCGGCACTTTCCAACGCCAGTGCTGAGATGGAGGTCGGCGAGCTGGACAATCTTGAACTTGCCATTGTCGGCGATCCGCGGGTGCGGCTTCGTCGGCTCCTTTTGGCTTCCTCGTCGAACGGTGAGGTGGGAGACGGGAACGTCCTCGTTGAGGGGCAGGAGCAGGGGTATCCCCCCGGTAATCTCCCACCCGTTGCGCGCCTCGACGGCATCGTCGCCGAAGAGGACGTCGACGCCCGTGACGGCCTTCTTCGAGTCGCTGTCCTTCTGGTTGGACGAGCGCTTCACCCACAGGCCGTAGGGTCGGCTCTCCCATCGCTCGTCCTCCTCTCCCTTCTTGGCAGTTGTGGGGTCGAGTCTGCCGACGGAAACGTCCATAACGACCTTGTCTTCGGCGACGAGCTCCTCCTCCTTTTTGCGCGCAACGTGGACGTACGCGCTCGTCGTCCATGACTTGCCGAGATACAGATCCTTCTCGATACGGTGCCACTTGTTGATGTCGAGCTTGCAGGAGGAAAAGACGTTGAGAGAGGAACACTTTGTTATTGTGATGTCGGTGACGATCAGCCCATGGTGGTGCTGGGGCATGTAGTGGTGCATCGACTTGGGGAGGACTCGGAAGTTGCGGTCGAGGAAGACGACGACGATGAGGGTGACCAGCGTCACCGCGGTGAGCTGGACTATCGTGCGCACCTAAGGGAGGCAGGGCATCAGCGCGCGGGTCTCGGGCGACGGGCAGCCGGGCAGGACTTACTATGCGGCGCGTCATCTTGGGCGACACCGGGATTGTCGCAGAGAGTGGAAGAAGTAGTGGTGTTTGGGGGCGATGGCCGGTGGTGGCGGCGTAACGTAGAAAATGCGGGATGGTAAGGGGAACACGAACACGAACAATCGGCTCCGGCGAGCCTAATTCAAGCTACTGCTTAGGCCATATCATGGGCCCACGGACTCGCTATACAAGAATTAAGAGTTGCAGATGGGGCGACTGAGCTTGTTCTCGGATCATGAACGACGACAGCTCAGCAGGGCGACAGGGGGGGCGGCAGAAAAGGAGCGAAAAAGGCACGATGGACGATTTCATGGACTCGGTCGATACAGGTCCAGTTTAGTGGAG